AATTCCCGTCGGCGCCAGATGAATCATGAACGATTACAGGCCTTTAAAGTATTTTTTTCAAGACATTTTTATAAAACAGATACTAATGTATATTAGGGCTAGTAGTAAACACCATATGAATGAAAAGAAACAAAAATTGTTAGTTTTTTTTTTTATCTACTACAGTCAATTATCTCCAAATTAGGGAAATTACGGGTTAATTTCATGGGTTATTGTTTGCTTTACCTAGTTTTTGTCACGTCGATTCCAGTCAGTTTTATTTTTTGTATCAAATGTTGGTAGGTTGCTTGTTCATGTGAGCATAAATTTTTGAAACCCACCCCATGAAAGAAGTAGCTATAAGGCGTCAAACTTTGCTTGACGAAAAATTGGGAATTAAGATAGGCTTTGATATCCAGTCCGTATACAGATCTTATTCGCCAGAATTATCTGCAATTAATTTTGTGGTAACAGCACTAGGTTATCTATAAACTGTGTGAGTTTGGTCTTTTTGCTACGTCTAGTAAAGGTGTGAGGACTTGTCAAAGTTGGTATTAGAGAAAAGACGGATTTGGGCATTTTCGCCATATGAAAAATGTTTTTTCAATTTTCTCAGTCAGGAATTGAAAGATTTATCTGATATTGCATATTTATGTGTTTTGGGCCTATCCCAACTTATAAATCAAATTTGGTCAAAATCTATGATTGAAGCCTTAGAACCTTCTGCATGGTTTTCTCGCGGACACGTTCTTAAGTTGATGATAACGATTTCTGATATCATTCCGCACAATTTAGACTTGGTTTCACACTCGCACCTTTCATGTTGATTGATATTTAAATTACCAATGGGGTCATGTGATATTTTCGGGGGGGGGGGGTCAGACTATGTCATATATATATCTAAAACTTCATTAATTTTATGTCTCATATTTTTGCGCCAAGCAGTATAAAACATATCCATGTAGTTTTGTGTAACATACCCGGAATAGATCACGAGATCACGAGATAAAGTAAAAATCGAAAAATTGCTAATTGATGACCTTTGACCTCTTCTTAAGTGGCCTTTCCACCAAAAATCGCATTCTTAAGTTATATTTGCTAATTCAGGGCACATTCCTCTATCAAATGCCACTGAAGTGGAACTTGCACTTTCCATGTTGAATAAACCAATTTTTTTTTTTTGGGGGGGGGGGGGGTACTATACGGAGCAACTTAAGAATTGGGTTTATGAGGTCTCCTCACCTAGCCATACACCACTGGCACCCCAAACCTTTCGCACCTTCCATGTTGAAGAAAACCCACCGGAATATTATTTATTCAAACATGTCAAATAGACCGCATTTATATAATAGACCGCATTTTGTATATAAAATTAAAAAAATGTCAAATACATAGGCCCACTGTACGTATAAATGTTCTTTTGCATTATAGACCACATTTTATATTTTACATAAAATACATTAAAGTTTACAATTGCAGCACTAAAATAAATTAACAACAGAAAATACAATTTGAAGCAAAATTCCTAAATAGCGATTATACTTTAACCAACATCTTATTTCCTTTTAAAGAATTCCCATGAAAGGGGCTGTGCCGTCTGAGACAATAGTGCCAAACGTTAAACCATTTAAGACATATCAGACCATTCCAGTCATATAAAGTTAAATGTGCGAATACAGATACACCCTAAACTTGTCTCAAAGAAGACAAAACACAAAAAAACCCCATAGAATACCACACACATGGGTCAATCAGACACAGATCTTGACAGACGTAAATAGAAATTATTAACATATTTTGCTTGTTTTAGTTTATTCCTTGGTCGACATCGAAATGTTATCTGTATATCTTTATAGAACACGCCGTGATCTTTCAATTTAAGTGATATAACCGATAATTAGAGCCTCCGCTTACACTCTCCGTAACATCTGATACCACTTTACAATATATGTCAAATTGATATGAATTATAAAGTAACGATGCGCCATTTGCATTTTTCGCTAAAAATGTCCAATTACTTACGGTTTAATCCACACTAATGTGTACTCAGATTAAAGGACAATATTGGTGTCAGTCATTATAAAATATGTTATAGAGCTCGTTAAATACATCCCAAATATAATTTTAACACAGAGATCATTGCTACGATACCTGAGTAACAAGCACGTGAAGAAACGGGAAGTGACGTCAAACATGACAAACACGAGTTGTCCTTCTATATAACAGACTGAAGTAACGAGCGGTAACAGACAAACGATCGAATTTCATTTCACTGATAATTCAGTTGAAGATGAAAAGTTGTTATATGAGACGATGAGAGGATAACAAAATGGCGATGGGGTTATTACGCAGCGAAGAAGCATAGCTCGATGAAAGTTCAATTCCACATATCCTGTTAATTACTGAACGGAAATAAACCATGTTTGGACTGATATTCCTTTAAGAGATTCGTTGCATAATGACTGTAAAGTTTAATCGGACATTTTGGCATGAAACACTTGAATGACTTCTATTAAGGCATGACCAAAACAAGTACAGATTTAAGGTCTTAAATAAAATTTTCATATTGTTGTACCATACAAGCTTTGTGTCTTATCTTTTGTGCATAACTAGTTAAAAGTCAGGTTATTTTCAAAAACATATGATTTATAATTAGAGACTTTTATGGTACAGCAACTACGTCGAAAATGTTTAACTAATATGACCTATATGTACCCAACACCTTAAAAGAAGATGGGCCATCGTTTTAATATTCAACCAATACACGATACTTATAACAATTCGCTGAAACGCCATACCAAATCACAGGCGCAACCAACGATGAACAATTAATTTCGACACAGAAAAAGAAAACAGAAATTATCGATATGTTAAAAACATCGAGATATTGAAAAATCTGGTAGCACTGATGACGCATTCTTTATTTAAAGGTAGCGGTTAAAGGATACCTAGAATGTTCGTAAAATATGACCCCAGTTGTTGTCTTATCATCCGTTTTTTATAATTAAAAAACATATAGACTCTCTCCTTTACAGAAAACATACTATCATTATTTTTCCAATAAATCTGAACTGTATAGTGTTGAACTCCCCTATCACAATCTCTGGTGTCAAACTGCTACTTCAAAGATGACTGGTATCAGTTCAGTAAGTAAAAGTAGAATGGTAAAAGTGATAACACACGTTTATACTGTTATATTGCTATATACATGATAATATATTAGTGTAAATGTACGAGAAAAGGTGTGGTATAAATGTGAAATATATGTATAATATGTGTATATATTTATTTATATTATGGGGTTTGATCTATCTCTTTTCTGATACGTTATCAAAACGTTTGTGATAGATGTTAAGTTTAAGAAAACATCGGAGTATTTCCTTTAAAATTAATTTACCAAATATCATTTTTATCAATATGACGTATGTCCTTTAAATAAGCAAGATATTTGAATAGTGGGTTTTATTATCGAATTTAGTTAAAGGTTACTGCATAACAGAGTTTAATATCCCGTTGACAATATTTTTATTTATCTTCTTCATTTCAATAGCAATATCATATTTTTATTTTCGATGATAACGTCCGAGATGAATATAGATGCCGATGTTAACTGGATAGTGGCGTTTCCTTAAATATTTCTCATTTCAACTTTGAAGGGGTCTTTTACATGCATTTTACACAGAAAATATACTGTTCTTTCCTTTACAACAATCAGTCACACATCGCTGCCATCCCCACGGGAAACGGAGCCACTGTCCTACGGGCTTACGTTATTCTCTACACAGAGAACTGCTCCACACCGAGAACTATCTACTTTAAGAATATATCTATGCACTAAATGGCTGTCATATTCAAAAGGTTGTACACTATTTTGTATCGTGATTCTAATCCGCTTTACATCTTTCATTGTGCCCCAAAAAAGGACATTCATGCCAATAAATGACAGCCCATTAAAGATGGTTATGTAAGAGCTAAATCTGCCTTTTGCAGGTTTTTACTTTGTCTTCAAATGTTATATAAACTATTATTTCGACAAACCTATAATCAACTCTCTAGAACATCGGATGGCGGAGATTTAAACGGTTTGAAATACGGTCGCCATTTAATTTACAAAACATCTTCTCAAAACTGCAAACAGTGATAACTTCGCTCAGAATAATATAATTTGAATGAAAGTTTCGATATATTAAAGCTGCATTAGGTAAGATTAGATAAAGAGTTAAAAAAAATAGATAATGATAATAGATATGTTGAACATTCCATTCAAATTACTTCACACTGAGCCAAGCTATTTGCAATATAATAGCGTTGTAGCCTCGGATTGTCATAGCTTCCGTTGTTACGATAATAAACAAAGTCTTGATTATCCATTATTTCATCAATCGCAAACCGTATTCAAATCGGCTTAATACCGAAGGCTTCTGATGACATCAAGCTTTGATTATGGTCATAGTAAGTTAATTAATGTCTAATCAATAATTTAAGGCCGAAAGAAAGACCTACAATATGCATAATGCCAGTTAAATTTGTATTTATCTATTTTGGAACTAGTACAGCATCTTTAAATGTATGTATACTATGCAATATTGTTAAAACGCGCAATCTGGACTAAATCATCAGCTATGTTATGTTTGTTTATAAAGCTATTGATAACAGTTTTCCTCAATCAAAATCTAGGAAATGAATGTAAGGTACACAACTTCTAACCCAGCAAATGGCAGGCGTTTGTCATATCTTGAACTGTTAGTCGAGGCATAAAGTTATCAGTTGTTGGAAATGGGATATCTTCTGATCGACGATTAAAACCGCCTTCCCACGCGGGTACCTTTGTTTGTTTTGGTTCTATAAACCGGTTGATGAACATACGTCAAAATTACTAAAGTAATCTATTTCCATTGAGGGGTGTTTCTGCTTCTCTCCAATTCTTGACATACGCACTTATTTTATACGTCAGCTGCTTACAGTTGTAAATTTCTGTCATAATTCACGTCTGCGTGTATCCAAGAGGAAGTGAACTCTTGACTACGGTTTCCATAACAATCTGAGCTCACGGTTTTGGCTTCTGTCTGTTTTATTAATTTATGTATGAGTAAAAAAAACTATATGTTTTTAATGTTTTAGTTTAAATGTAGAAGTATGTGTGATACGTTAAGCTTGAAGTAAGCCTCTGTTTAGTTTTTGAGTACATGTTTTAAAGGGATAATATTACTTACAAAGCAACTATAAGCGGAAAATAAAAGGATAAAATGTCGGATATTGAAAATGAAGTTTTCGAAAAGGAAAATGAAACTAACAAGAACAGGTAATTTAAAATTTCTTAACATTAATAAGTATCAAAAGATAGTTAACCAAGAGATTTGCCTGGGAGGTAAAATGAATCCTCCGAAATAAATTATAGAGAATTCCGACTTGAAAGAGAGTCACCCGTGAAAATTAAATTTTAATTGAATGGTATCGCATAAAATCAATTTTCATAAAACAATCATAAAGTTATTAATTACAAATTAATAACCAATGTTTCTGCAACGGAGTGTGCAGTTTTTGTCAAGTTTCAGGGCAACGTTGGTTTTATATTGGCGAATACGTTAGAAAATTGGTAGATTGGTATATAGTATCTTGTAATAAATTTTCCAATCCCTGTTTATTAATATCTCGGCTGTCGAGAACATGTATGTTTTATTGAAGAGTTTTCAGACAAATTTGACTCCTTTCATAGCTAACTCATGTTAATAAGACAACCTACCTCAAAGTTAACGTCTTGATATAAACGGACAAATCCAATATATTAGAAATGTTATTGCCAGATTATCGGCACTGCGGCCTGTTCTTATTTCGAATTCTAACTGTCAAAGGTTCTTTTACGTGCACGCTAATGCACACACGGAACCTCGGTAGGGCGTGTTCGTTATTGGGTGATTTATTCAATCTCTACAAAGGAGCTCAGTTTTTAATCCTAGAAGAATCTGGTCTATGTCAACGGTTGATCGTTATATAAAATGACGGATGTCATTAATCAACCCCGCATCTTGTGTCTGTTGAGAAGATTTGTTAAACAAGTTTTTATTTAAAATTTCTATGTGGGGATAGGCAGTAGATCGGTGTGGTTTGAATTCCTGTCATCATTTGACAAGCACGTGCACTTCTGTATTCCATTTTCTACTGATGTTTGGAGTAATGTCTTTTCCTGACACTTCGTCGTTTCACACCATATGGCATTTCAAGGTGCACTTTCAGTTTATCATTACTTAACCTAGCAATTTACAATCAAACCATCTGGGAAAATATTATGGAATTCTGTTTTGGCCATTCCAGTTTACTTATTAAATTTTAGGGTTGTGCTGTATTTTTACGATTGGCGTTGTTCGGGGTTTCCGTCATCTGATTACTCATTGCAGCAAATAGTTTTTTACATCTGATCAGTGTATCCACGTCAAATATGTAGAGTTATATTTTGGCTACGTAGTGTTGAATTTGCAATTAGAATACAATAGAAGAATCCTTATTGAGGACAGCATACAATATACAAAGTACAAAAATTATGGACGGGCACAAATTCAGAAGACAGTTTCATTTCAGGTCTTCTATAAATCAAAATTGCAAGTAGGTATCCACTGGCCCTTTAATTTCAGTGTGGGTATTTGCATATTGTCAGAAATAAAAACAAAAGAATATTCATCAATTGATAGTATCGGGTTTGATCCTAGAATAACCGTCCATATGTAACATTGTGGTTTATATATATAAGTAAAGATACGACTCGAGCCATCAATGTGGGGAATAACCTTTATTTGCTGGCGACTCCGGATACGACATCTTTTGTATATTTTAACCCCCACTCTTGTTGATATCCCAGCACATTAAATCGTTTAGCTTACTTTGTTCGGCACCATACAGCTTTTTCGTTTAATGCGATCATAGTTTTTTTTTGTATATAGCCAAGTGCTAATGTACATCAATTAATACACAGTACAGTTGACAAATTATAGCATATTATTATAAATTACACAGTAATTGATGCATATCGTGTGTATGCCTGCACGTAATTGACTTGTTGTTTACATATTATACAATACATCTCTATTAGAGACCACCAAGAGAGCCGACATTGTTTTTATGTATATATCTTTCAATTAAAGGATCGTTCAGATGGCTCGTATTGTATATTTTTGACTTGAAAACAGACGCTGATCTCTTTACTTTACGTCTGGGATATAGTTGTTTTTTCCACACAGCTCTTACGAGTTGATCTTATCCAACAGCATGTTAAAAGAATAAATGATCAGAGTAAGTTTTCCCCTGTGTGACTAGGAGTTTAGGAGTCGAACAAAAGAAAGTGGCTTCTGTGTTGGGGTTGGAATGATGGTTAGTACAGTTTGGGAGATCAACATAATTATATCTTTATTTTACACTAATATTCTGTTCATAATCTACCGAAGACGAAGTTTGCGTCTTTACGTGTCCAACAATCAATCAATAAATTTTGGAAAATAAAAGTTAATTATAATATACAACTGATTGATGTAGCCTTTTTATTAGGGGTCACTTCGTATGTTTGTGGTGTACAATATCCGTTTACCCCCGCCCTTTCACTACAGTTTTCGTTTTCTTTTAATTATTTGACGGATTACTCAAAACAACATTTAGGACCCCGATTTGGGTGCGATAAAGATTAGGATTGCATACCTACACCCCCCCCCCCACACACACACACAGTTTCTCCTTAGATTTACTGCTAAAAAACACCAACATATTTTATTCCCGACATGACGAAGTTGTGTTAATAGTCCAGGAGCTAATGACAAAATAATATGGTCATCAGTTACAAAAGGTTTGATCCCCCAAATTTGTAGCGGGTGTCGGTAGGAGTAAAAATCAATTGGTCAGATCGGGCCCTGCTGGGGCGTATAACCGCAGCAGCACCTTAAAGTAGCCCCCAGGGGGCCTAAAATTAGGTCATAAGTTACATGGCTAATACTTTGTAGGGACAATGGTATCCATAGTCGGAGTAAATATTTCACAAATCTAACCAAAATTTCCGGGGCTTTCCCCAAGTCAGACCACGCCCAATATCGCCACACGGGGCTAATAATATGGTCATCAGTTACATGGCTGAAACTTACCAGAAACGAAGATCCACACTTGGTAAATACAAGTTTCAAAAATCTAACCAAAAATTTGGGGGCTTTCACCAAGTCAGATCGCTCTAAAGTATGTCCGACCACACCCTAAAAATGGGGCTTTTTATATGGTCATAAGTTACATGGCTGAAACTTACCAGAAACAAAGATCCATACTTGGTAAATACAATTTTCAAAAATCTAACCAAAATTTTGGGGGCTTTACCCAAGTCAGACCACTCTAAAGTATGTCCGACCACACCCTAAAAATGGGGCTTTTTTATATGGTCATAAGTTACATGGCTGAAACTTACTGGAAACAAAGATCCATACTTGGAAAACATATTTTTCACAAATCTAACCAGAAATGTTGGGGCTTTCCTCAAGTCAGATCGTCCTAAAGCCCACCTGGCCACGCCCTAAAAGTGGGACTTTTTATATGGACACCAGTTACATGGCTGTAACTTGCCAGAAATATTGTTCCATGCATGAAAAATGTATTTTCGAAAATCTAACCATAAATGTGGGGGCTTTCCACAAGTCAGAAGGGCCTTAGAATTGCATCCCCACCCACCACCTCTATATAAATCATCTAAACATATTTACATTTTAAAAAGTGTGAAATGAAATAAGTGTTGTAATATGTGTTTTATAACTTGGGTCTTGCAGTTCCCATGGTGATCATTAGAATAGGTTATCTCTGTGCCACCAAAAATGAACTTTTTTATCTCATAATATAAATAGTTTGTACAATATAATATTCTATAGGTATACATGTATTGTATATTAGTCTTCAGTTACAGTGTCTCATAGAGTACAATTATTTTGTTTTCTTCCACACAAAAAGTATGTAACTTTTACAGTCGGAACAAATTTCATTCATTTTGCAAGTTGAAGTCTAAGAACTTAATACAACATGGAAATTGAAAAAGACGATGGTAAAATCAATCCAATTGGTAATATAACTGAAATTTCCAAATATTCTGAATTAAGGCATAAAGTCAAGCAGTAATATATATAAGCATGTATAAAAATTAGAGTAGATCCAGTACAAATATGTCCATGTTTACGGTAGATAAATACATACAAAAATACAAATACGTCAAGTTAGAAAAATCAACCATCCTTACTTCTTTATTCTGGTATACGGGGATCACGGTGGCTAAGTGGGTAAGGCGCTGGCTCGCTAGCCTGGAGGTCGGGGGTGTTCGATCCCTGCATTGGCCGAGAAAGTTCATCCAGATTTTCCGGCGCGATTCCCCTTGTCAGTGATGCAGGACGGAGGGCCTGACAAGGACAGCTGTCTAGTCATTCGGATGATACGAAAAACCCGAGGTCCCGTGTACACATTGGCGTGCACGTAAAAGATCCCTTGACAGTTGGAATTCGATATAAGAGTAGGCCGTAGTGCCGCTGTCCGGACAAAATTTCCCTCATAGCACACTGCATGGTGTATGCCTGTCTTCATTAGCCCAGTTCGGAGCAAAACAGTAGGACGTTAAACCCCATTTCATTTCATTTCATTCTGGTATACATCATATCGTACGAAGGCTGGTGCTCTCTTCATTCTGGCAATGGTGCCGATTCTTGTTTTTAAGAAAGGTACTCTACAAAACTGTCAAAAATTTTAGAAATCTGTAAAAAGTCACGTGTGAAGTATGCTGAAATTATGCCCCCAAAGTTGTATATGAGTTAACAGGATTTCATATGGAATGATGTAGAAGATTTACAGAGATATCTAAAATTCAAAAGAAACAGAGTGATGAAGTACATGAAAGTGTCAATCCAAATTCCAATCCAAAATTGATGAGATCATGTTTAACATTGACTTCTGCATCCAGTTCAGGTGTGTTCGAGAAGGTCTGCCGGTTTTGCAGTAAATCAAACAGAAAACATCAAGGTCACAAACAGACAGTAATAACCTGTTTCACAAAGACAATCGAAAAAAATATTCAAGAATATGCAACAATTTTTCAGGATGAAAATATGCTTAAGAACATCCAAGATATAGATTTCATTGGCAAAGACATTCATTATCATGCAATGTGCAGAATAGAATATCAACACAGAGTTGAAAAGATGCGAGAAGTAAGCGGGTCATATGATAAAAGTGAATGACATGATACTAGGAATATACATACCAAAGCATTTGATGCTTTATGTAGTATTGTGACTGACATTATTC